AAACAAGTCTTTTAGGAAACCTGAAATTCCTATAATTTAAGGAGTAACTCCAGCTAGGTAGGAAGTGCCCAACAGTATAAATTTCCTTGCCCACTACCCACCTTGTCCTTGCACACAGCTCAGGACCTTAAAGGACTGATTCATTTCTGTTCAATTCCAGGCTAAACAGTAGTGTGGCGAATTCTTTGAATGCTGCTTAAAATAAGATGATTGTGGGCCAGCAAGATAGCTCATTGTACTAAGCGCCTGCTTAGGCAAGCACAGGGACCGAGGTTCAATCCCCCGCACCACATGCCGCACCTGACCCACCCTCAGGCACGCTGAGCCTGGGACAGAGTGGTGGTGGTGCACACCTGTAATCCCAGTGCTGAAAACACGAGGATCACTAGGAATCCAAGCTGTGTATGGAAACCCTGTACCAAATGCCAAATGCGTATATATATATGATTGTCTACACAAGAGTCAGTCCCACTCAAGCAATCTGATAATTTAGTCTTGTGATCTTAAATTTTTGTGGACTCTGTTTCCCTTTCTCCCTGGTAAGCTGGTGTCTGGGTGGCTCCGAAGGGTGCCGTCCACCTCACAGCAAGCCTCCCTGCGGCCGCTCACTCCCCTTCCCCGTTCCCTCCTTGGCTCCAGCTCTTTCTCACTCAAGTCTTCGCTGGCCTCTCTAACCCAACAGACTCTCCAAATTTGATGTTCTCAGAAGACCATGTGTCTTCCAGCTTTTCTTATGATCATTGTTTCACTGTTACTTATGCGATTATTTGAATAAAATCTGCCTTCCTCATTGCACTATAAATTCATGGGGGGGGTCCCATCCATGCTTTATAAATTTGCCGTGGAACTTCACTCCTAGCACAGTGTCTGGCCTGTGGCAGGGCCTTAGTCAGTGTTGCTTAGCTGATACTTCGAGCATCCACACTGTGTTCAAAGCACAAGAGTAAGCTCAGAATGGGCTGGCTCTTCTGTAGGCCTCTGGACAGATAAGAAAGCAAAGAAGCCTTAAGCCGCAGTGGTCTTGGCTGAGCATGGAAGGAACTTGGCTGGATTCTGCTCTGGCCTCATCGCAGCCCCTGGGCGGGTGGAGGTCACCCTGCCCCGAGGAAGCAAATCCTCCCTCGTTCCCCACACTAGAACTCAGAACCATGCTTTCCTGGTGTCTTGCATTTCAAAAAATATGTAACAGAGCTGCTGCTTTGGAATATATTTTAAAAGGTATTTTAAAGGAATAGTAAACATTACCACATCTTAAAAATAGAGCACAGAGATAACAAAATACTAAATATGGTAACTATATTTTAAAATATTTGCTTAAATACATGTTAATTGTTACTAATATATGAGGTACACAAGAAAAATCAAACCACAAAAAAGGCAAGGTTTTGGAAATCAGAATGAATTAACAGGAATTTCTGGTCATAAGACCCTTCAACTATCAATCTAGTTTTCATTCTGTCAAAAATATTTGAAAGTAGAATAAGATTTTTGGTCTTAATTCAGACTAAAACTATAAGATATACAACCTGGAATAGTTTAGGTTTTTTTAAACTCCAAAATTGAAAAGAAAGTAAAACTGTGAATCACTTCACCCACCGACTTTGCAGATGGCCATTTTGTCCAGCCCGGACTGAGCTGGACAAATGCTTTTCTAGAAGTGCAGTATTTAGACTAGCTTGTCTAGCTAAGCACCTTGGCAGCCTCCACTGTAAGGTGGGGACACCTGCTCTGACCATCAGAGAGGCTGGCATTGCACCCGGCACAGGACAGGGCCAGGCAGGCAGCAAGGTCCTCCGGTTGGTCATTTCTGCCGCAGGCTCTGCCAGGGCAGTTCTGGTCCTGCTCCACACACACATTAATCCTGTCTCTGCTAGTCAACTGTACTTGGCTTTTCTTAGATGAGGTGCTAGATAGCAAAGAAAATGCTCTCATTATTATGTTATTTTGCAAAAATGTATCAAGGCAGTTCACGGAGCAGTGTTGTAGTTATTTGGAATGAGGAAAGCAACATGCAAACCCTTGCCGTGTGCAGCTTGTGTTCCAAAGACAGACAACACAGGATTAGGCACAGGGTGTTTTCTGCTAGTTACCTCATAGCTGCACTTTCAGTCACTTGTGAGCCCCAGGCACTGATCCTGGGAGTCCCTTTGGAGCCGAGACTCTGTATTATCAGTGCTGCTGGACCTCTCTGCCCTTCCCTCCCCCGACCTCCTGTTCTCTCTCCTACATCCTTTCGGTTTGTGTATTTGAGTTGTGAACATGTCTGTTTTGAGGCTGAATTGTCGTCTGCCCACGCTTGCTTCCCGTTCTAGTCTAACTCAGCCCTCACAGAAGCCTGCTGCGTGCCCCTCGGGGTGAAGGGGGGGTCGTGCGCGGCGATCGCTCCGTGGGTCCTGTCTGCACAGGTGCTCAGATGAGTTATGCGTCTCTCTCTCTCGGTAGATTGTTGGCTGCGACCACCAGCTGGGAAGCACCGCTAAGGAGGATAACTGTGGGGTCTGCAACGGAGATGGGTCCACCTGCCGGCTGGTCCGAGGGCAGTATAAGTCCCAGCTCTCTGCAACCAAATGTAAGACACTAAGAGATGGGGCAACCTCTGTGCTCATTGGCTTGTAATCTTCCCCTGGCTTGGCTCTGGCTTCTCCAAGCAATCAAGGAATAATACCTCCATCAAAGCAGAGAGGAGTCTGAAATTGTGGAGCACTTCATGCTGCTGCCTTGTGAGTTCGTTTCAGTAGGACACGTCACCAGTGCAGCCTCCCTCTGAGGCCCAGCAAAGTGAACTAGACATGCTCTATACATGGACACGTGTGGTGCTCCCCAACTGGAGGGCAGACTGCATCCGACTCCGGCCTTTGGGCAGTCGGAGGTTCTCAGGGAAATATGGCGGGGAGACTGCAAGGGTGCACACGAACGGACTACCCACTGTGTGACTGTGTGTGCTGGGGCTTCCTGAAATAATCTTATTGAATCTTTATAACAGTCTTATGAGCATAGCAGAATTAATTTCTTTGTTATGGATAAGATGCCTGCAACTTAAGGAGATTAACAACTTGTTCACAATTGCAGTGTCATAAAGTAACAGCTGAGATTCGATCCCAGAGTCTGAGTCCTAAGCCGAAGCTGGTAGCTGTCTCTGGATTGTCTTGTAACCTGCTGCCTGCCTCTTGGCAGACCTTCTCGAAGCAGATAGGTAGACTGTGGCAGAGGACCCCAGATGTCCACCACTTAGATCTTATTAGGTAGATGGCATGAATCCCACGATGCCTAAGCCAGCAGCACATCACAGACCGACCCAGACCACCTCGCAGTAGACTGGCCGCTGTGATGACTGCTGTTCTAGGCACTACAGGCAGAAGATCATCTTTGTACACAGCACATGTGCTTGTAGAATTATTTTGAAATTTCTGGCCAGTTATCTGCAGACCCTAGTGTTACCCAGGATTTTCAGTAGATCTTTGATTATCCCTTTCCCAGTCTCCTCTGGGTTGGGAAGTGCAAGTGAATACATGTGCTAAGTGTGGTTTTGTTTTCTTGGGGGAAAACAGTTGACATATGGCAGGGTTATGACTTTAAGTAGAGCTGCAGGTCAAAAGGCAAGGCAGTTATTCAGGTGTGTCCTAGAGAACTCGTCATAGAAGTCGTGGAATGGCGGCTTGTGACAAGGGTGAATCTCTGGGGGCCCGGAAAAGACTTGGGACTTTTAAACACATGAGAAATTGGAAGTGCTAGCTTTGGGAACCGTCCACATTCTGACTTCGCTGGAGACAGTGATTCTATAAGAATTTAAAAATCAGGACTACTCTGGCAGATAGAACGAAAGAGTGACGTAGACATTGACAAAGTCTGTTCAGGCAAGATTTTTCTTTGCTCATGAGTATTGGAACTTCTTTTATAAGATGAAAATGTAAAGAAGTTGGAAAATAGAAACCAGGAAAAGGCATAACGCTTTTGTTTGTTTTGTTTTGGCAGTACTGGGGATTGAACTCAGGCCCTTGCACTTGCCAGGGAAGAGCTTATTTACTGAGCCATCTCCCCAGTCCCCATAATTCTTTTAAATACCTGAGACTATTTCAATTACATTTCAAAGTTTGGTTATTTGCAAAGCTACATTGAAAAGATCACTCTTACATTACAGGACTCTTCAAGGAATGTTGGAAAGATTAAAATACATCTAATTATTTGCCACATAACTGAATCAATCCTAATGATCTGGGAATTGCCATTTGGTGCAGAAGTGGATGTCCATGTGAGGTGACAGGTCTGGGGACTGCTGAGAGCCTGTTTCCTTGGTGGGACCTTGCAGTCTTCTCATGTCACGCGCCTCACTGTTCTCACAGAGGAGCAAGGACACTGCCGCGAGAGGCCTTCCTCTCGCCTGCCTGTTAGGGATGAGCAGCCCCTTGCCCAGGCCCGATTCTCAGCACAGGTGGGAAAGCTTTGAAGGAGCGGAGGCAGACTGAGAGCCGCGTGTCCTCTTCAAGCCTGCAGATCAGCGTCTCAGTGACAAGTGCTCTACTCTCTTGGGTTCGGGCCAGCAAACCCTGCAAGATGAATGAGGAGGGGCCAGGGATCTTCCCGGAACCGGAGGGAAACCCGCCCTGACTCAACCCCCAGGCTCGCTGAGGGGCAACAAAGGCAGAGCGTTGTGCTGGGCACAGATGGTTGTTCCAGGTAGCAAGGCAGGCATGGAGGCAGGGTGACCGCTTGGCCGAATTAAGAACTTCTATGGGATTGTCCCCTTGGGGGCCTCCTTGCCCCCCAGGTCCATCTCTGCGTGAGGTGGCACAGCACCTGTCTTCAAGCCACTCCAGCTCCCTGGAATGAGCCGGCTTCTGCCTCCAGGTCAGCCCGAGCAGAGGCCGACTGTCTGGTTCCCCAGGACCGCCAGGCTCACCATGGGTGGATTCTATAGTGCACCTCCTGGTGATGGTGCTCAGCGGCAAAACGCGACGGACTCGTTGGCCGCACACTGGCGCTGCCTCATGACGACGTGATTTATGCAGTAGAGCCCAGCACGCACACGGCCTCCGCCTGTCCATAGCAGCTGCCGAGCTGTCTCCTGGGCGGATGCTGTCTCTGCCCCAGGAGAGTCTTCCTCCCTGTCCTCGCAGACTGGGCGCAGCCCCCGGGCAGGGGACACGAGGCAGCTGGGGGCCCAGAGCCCCCCGGGTGCGCCCGGAGCTGTCCTGCCGGCCTGTCTTCTCGCGCTGCCGAAGGAAACCCTGAGCTAGCCACATGCTCGCCTCGAGCCCCCAGCGCCCGGATTCCCCACCTTGAACTCCTTTTCTTTCTAAATTTATATCCAAGGTTTTTCCCTTATATTATAAAGACCCGGGGAAACAAAGAAAAAAATGGAAGACTGGGGAAAGATCGTGAGAGAAGGTTCCAGAAGGAGAAAGAGAAGTAGGAGGGGCTTACCAAGCGACCCCCGTTCTTTGCTGGTGAAAAAAAAGAAACCATCTTCATATGAACACATTATCATTGCCTGTTACAAATTCAGACCATGGAAATAGAGCAAACTCAAGCAAAATATAGCAAAACATCCCCACATCCCCCCTTTTCTAAAGAAAATGACTGTCCGCTGCTAGTGTGAAATTTTTCCATTTTTCCTGGTTACTTCTTCCTGACTTCTCAACCCAATTTTTTTTTTAAAGAAACTAGCTAATGTGACTGTACTTTTGGCTCTTGATAACTAAAGGCTGATTTCCTAGCATTTTGCTGATGTGTGCCATTTTGCGTGTCTCCCAAGTATACTCTGAAAATAAGCACACCCAGAGCCAGCCCATTTTCTATCTTAACTACTGTCTGCAGCTTTGCACATACTTTCTTTATTTCTGTATGATTGTAAACCACTTGCGCATCCTAAAGCTTGTCCTCCCTCGCAGGCATAGCAAGGGCAGAATAAACTAGTTTGTGTCAAGATAGAATGACGCTCCTGCTACCTGAGGTCATACCTCTCGGACAGTTGCTCACACTGATTTATAATGGCCATGGTTAGTATATTTCTGTACTATCATGCTAGATCAAAGATTTTAGGGCAAAGTGCACTTATAATAAAACACAAGACTCGCTATATGATAAGTACAAAATACATGTAAGGGATATGCATTTTTAAACATGGGTAATAAATTGCCACTGTGTTCCTGGATGCTCCAGACTGTACTCTCGATCCCATTGGGAGTGTATATTGATTCAGTGGTGATTACTGACCTGTATCCCTACTATGTGCTGAGGAATTGTTCCAGGTGTTGGAAGCATGGCGCACAGCAAAATAAGCCAAGTCCAGTTCATGCCTGAAGTTCACATGCTGGCGTGAGGGACACACACAGAAACAGATCAACAAAGTGTATCTGACAGAAGGTGACAGAGAACATGGAGAAAGCAATGCAGGGAAGAAAAAGATGAGGATGGGTTGCTGGCCAAAGGAGTTCAGAAAGACTTGCAACTTTTAGTAGGTTAGTAAGAAACAGCCTCAACAATGAGAAAGCATTTGAGAAGGAATCTGATGGTGGTGAGAGAAGGGCGTAATACAGAAGGCAAAAGGAAAGGAATTTCGGGCTGAGGGAGGGAAAAAGGCAAGCAGAGAAATGTGCATTCGTGCATCTTGCATGAAGGATGAAGACACTACCCTGGCCAAGTGAAGTTGTATTTCAATGGGGAATAAGAGGTAATGGAGACAGGGCTATGAGTGGGGTGGACAATCGCAGGGGTGTTGGAGAGTTTTGCAACAACTCAACTTTGGATGTTGGGTATTTTTGTCCAGCAAATACTCATACTCAACTTTGGATCTGCATCTGGAGGAGAAGAGAAGTCCTGAAGGGCTGGGAGCAGAGGAATGAACTTTCTTGACATTGGGGTGGAGGGTGGGCTGGCACTTGGCATTGAGCTCAAGGTCTTCAAACTGAGCTACATCTCTGCCTTTTTGAGACAGGGTCTCATTGAGGCATCACTTTGCCCAGGCTGGGTTCAAGCTCACAGTCTTCCTACCCTGGCCATGTAGGGTGCTGGGACTGTCAGAGTGTGCCACTGTGCGCAGATCTAATGGACCTTTCTAAGGGAACACTCTTTGCTGAGAGCAGACCACAGCGGGGACAGCAGCCCTGTGGGGAGCTGGGTAGTGGCGATGGTGACTTGGGAGGAGGGAGGAGAAGTGACCCAGGTCTGTACACACTGTGTTTCTTTGAATCTAAGACACTGTTGATTGGGAGACACACCATTATCTTATGCACACAAAGAGCAAAATGTCTCCATTGCATCCAGGAAATTATAATGATACTTTTGACCTCTTAGGGCTCTTACTTCACATTTTTAAGAGACTTGTCTTAGATTTAGACATTTCGGCCACTGTTCATGTTTAACAAATAAAATAAATGATAAATTAAACTGCTTCTGAAACTCCAACTCTTCAATCATTTCTAATTTGATCACTATTCATCATTAGAAGCCCTGGTAATATAGTACTTACAAGAATAAATGAAAAGAAATTCCTTGGTATTGGTCCCTTTCTTTAAAAAAACCCAACTTATTGGAGTAAAATTGGTATTTAATCCATAAGATATTTGGTGT